ACTTTCTGAAGGCAGCAGTTGTTTTTGCTTGCTCTTTATTTCTAAAATGTTCAGCAATCCCTAAGTCGAATAGTAAACATTTATTAAGTCCTTATATTCCAGATGCTGTGCTGTGTTGTGAATAAAAGGAAAAAAAAATCCTTGCCTTCAAGGAGTGTATAGTTTATTGTGAGAAAACCAGATGTACACATAAAAATAAATAAAAATATAATTTCAGGAGGCAAGGAAATAGCAACAGAGATGATGGGAAAGGCCCTTTTTAGGAGGCAGCACTGCAGCTGATCCAAGAAGGAAGGTAGGAATTCAAAGAGGCAAATGTGAAGAGGGGGCATTCTAAGTAGGGTTGGGGGAGCTTCTGCAAAGGCACAGAGATTCTGGCCATGGACTCTTGTATAAGAGGAAAAACACATGGATGCCAGTTTGGCTGGATTTAGAATGAGTGACGTAGAATAAAGTATAATAAAGCTGGAAAGTTAGGCTGGAGTTAGATTATGAAAAGATTTAAATTCAAAGCAGAGGAGCCCTTAGTTCATCCTAGAGGCAAACAGGTAGGCCTTAGAGTTTTTTTTTTTTTTAAGGCAATTAGGGTCAAGTGATTTGCCCACGGTCACACAGCTAGTAAGTGTCAAATGTTTGGTCTGAGGCTGGATTTGAACTCCAGGGCCAGTGCTCTATCCACTGTGCCATCTAGCAGCCCCGGTCCTAGAGTTTCTTGAGCAAGTTATGTGCGTAGAGGAATGAGTGGGTGACAGGATCATACTATTGCTTCAGGAATACCACTTTGGCAGCAGTGTGGAGGATGAAACAGAGAGGGGAAAGACAAAGCATGTGTTTCAGGAAAAAGTGTTGAATGGTGAACTCCAGCATATAGACCTTATGTAGTTGTTCCTTCAGAAGGGAAACACCAAAGATAGGCAGACGTTCTGAAGAGAATGTTCTCAGAAGGAGCTGTTTGCTGCCAGAGCCATCAACCATTCTGCTGGGCTGGAGATGGAGACTAGTGAATGTTTGCTTCCTGTGGTGGATCATTGCCCTGAACTGATAGGTTATTAGTGACATGAGGAAGAAAACAGCAGGAAAGCTACTTTTGGTTTTTGATGTTCTTTCGAAAAAAAAAATGAACTCATTTCAATTCCATAAACATTTATTAAATGCTTACTATATGCCAGGCCAGTTGGCAACATTCTTATTTGTGTTTGGAACTATTCAAATTTTCTATGATGTGTTAATGCACAGTCTAATTTTGGCACAAATGTTTTTGTCTGAGAGGAAGAGGATTAATTTATTTTGTTACTTCTTTATATAAACTTGCTTTCCTAGTGTTTTTATTAAGATTTCTCTCTTGTTCTTTTCTTCTATTCCTCCCTCCTTAGGTTCTCCACACTCCCTTTATTTTGCTTTGCAAATGCCTTTGGTGATACTCTGAATCCAACAGTAGAGATGGGGGGCCTTTGTAATATGTACTGACTACCACTAAAAAAGTATCAGAAAAGTTTTCCTTTCTTAGAATGCTGTAGAGTGATTTTTTTATGTGTCTAAGAAATGGAAACATTTTGTCTCATATAAAAAAGAAATATTTTTATACTGTGCTCCACTCACAGACCACATCAGAGGTATTCTAAGAATAGAATAGATCAAATATATTTTATGGAAATATAATGAGAAAAGGATGTGTTCCCAAAACTCACTCTGAACAAAGGAATGCAACATAGTCAGGAATACTTTAATGCTCCTAACAATTTTCTCATGTGAAAGACTGAAGAACAGCCCTGGTTTGAAGAAATCTTCCAATTCTCCCCAGGCTCCCTGAACTTGAAATCAGAACTAGGAAAGCTATATGTTATGAAAAAAGCAAATGTATGGAAAAAGTGACTTAGGGCATTAACCAAAAAGACATTTTTGAAAGAAGAAAACATCAATATGAAACATTTTGTCATATTTCATTTCATTGATCATATATTTATTTTATGTGTTCCAGAATACCCGAGCTTAGAAGTAACTGCATTTCAGGGAACTCATATTAGATTTATCAGTCTGTTTTAGAGAAAACTAACTGGGACAAAATATGGTGCAATTATTTGCTTTTATCAAATTGTTTTATAGCACATACAATGAACAGTAACATTAAATATATTAAAGACATGGGTTTTCTGACAAAAGCAGCAAGGATTGAGCATATTCACATCCAGTAATGTTCCTTTCACAATAGTAAATATCGGTGTTCAGGAGACAGTTACTGGCCTCACTGAAATCATTTGGCAAAGAGAAGTGTCTTAATTGTGAAGGAACTTTTACATATAACAGGACAGAATTTCACAGTATGGCACTTTTCTTTTCCACTAGTGGACTTCATACAAATGCATAGAAATATATGGTGTTGCTTTCACTGTTCCTCAAGACACAGTACTGTAAATTTGTGTGTGTGATTAAAAAAGCTGTATTGCCACTCCCGACATGTGTCAAATGTCTCATTGGCTTGCTTAGGTCCTAATATTCCCTGACTCTTCTCTTTTGCTGTATTCTTGAGGTAAATTATAAAACAGAACTCAGAGTTATTTCTTTTGTATTTTGTTGCTGGTAAAAAATATGCATATATTCTCAGTGGATTTCTCTTTCTTTGTAAGATGTGGTATTCAGTTCTAAAGGGACCACAAAGCCCTATGGAAGAGAAATCTTCATAATATTCATGCATTAAACATATATATATATATATATACATATATATATATATATATGCATACACACACACACATATATATGTGTGTATATATATATATATATATATATATATATATATATATATATATATTCATGGACGTATATCTATTTTGGGGGGAGGAAAGAAACCCCTCCAAAATGCATATGCTATCATGGCCCCCAAGGTAGCAATAACATATGTAGAGACAATTTATGCGGTTTCAGGCTGTGAACAGGATTTTCAAGACCTGCTTCCAGAAAATGTTACCCCCCTCCTTCCTCCTTCAATCTGTCCATTTACTTTCTATGGCAGACCTCCTTTTCTTCCAAAATTGACTAGTAAGCCTTCTGAATGAGGCTGCTCATTTGGATTTGCCGTTTGGTGGCTCGTCAGTGGTAATGGAAACATTCTTAGGGAACTTGGTAATTTTTTCAGAAATGCAGAAAGTCCAAATTGTTTCCTTTGTTTTATTTCTTTCTCCCACAATCCCCAATAAAGGGTTAGAAGGAGTCTGTCTACACTGGATGAAAAAGTAATAGATTTACTTCAAAAATTACAATACTCTACTGAGGCTGCTTTTTTTTTTCTTTTCTTTTTTGCCAGCTTAAATTTCCCATGCTATTTTCAGCAATGAGAACAAATAGAAACCAAGTGGCACTTAACAGTAATTTTCAAACTTCTTGAAAAAAGTAATGAAAACCTCAGTAAAAAAAAAAAACCCTCTATGAATGAGTATGAAACTATTTATTGAGCTTTCCATGCCTTGGCAATCCTACTGACTCCTGCTATACTGAACTAATGCTGTAGTTATTATGAAAGTAGCAGAATGAGTGGTAGCAAATCTAAGTGGTGAAAAAACAGAGAATATTCCTTTTTATTATGTATTACCATCTCCTGCTTCTTCCAGGCTTTTCTGTTAGGAAGTGTCAGTATTAGCATCTTGTCCAGGGTTTTTAAAATGTGTGTGTGTGTGTGTGTGTGTGTGTGTGTGTGTGTGTGTGTGTGATGGACTCCTTTGGCAGTCTGCTGAAGTACTCTTCTCAGAATGACATTTCTAAATGCAGCCAATATAATCCCTATGATTATGAAAGAAACCAATTATATCAAAAGACAATTACAATTTTTTTTTAAGTATATAGACCTTAGGTTGAGTCCTTAAAAAGGACATTCAGGAGGAGGTTAAATTCTTATGTCATGTTCATTTTTGTTAACTTACCTCCCTTTGTCCACTTAAGATAGTTTTTGTGATATTGTAGTATATGAAGGCATATTCCATTTAGTAAAAATATATATTTACAGATTGATAACAGAAGATGTTAGGTGACTTACCTAACTAGATAATTCCTTCATAGAATTCTCTTGCACAGAGAAGTGCTAAGTACAACCAAGATGTGAGTAAGGTTTGCGTTTTTTTAAAAATTATTATTATTTTTTTTACAGAGACTTAGTGGGGTATATGAAAAGAGCACCTTAACTCTCAAATCAGTTTGTGAGTTTGAGTATCAAGTTACTAGCATTGTGACTGTGGGCAATCAGTTAAACTTTCTGAACCTCAGTTTCCTTATCTGTAAAAAAAAATTACACTTACACTATCTACCTACCTCATAGGGTGATGGTGAAGAAAGTGCTTTGTAACCCATTAAGTGATAGATAAATAGGAGCTGTCATTATTCTAGTGTCTAAGGTGCTCATCATTGTTCTAGGAACTCTGAAGTGTACTGAAGTCTAAAATTATTTGTTCCTTAACATCAAGGAACTTAGAGCCTAATTGGGGAAACAGAATGTACATGAAACAATTAGTAGACAATGGGAGGCAGTATATAATTAAGTACTAAACTATAAAGAACAAATATAACGTTTCAGAGAAGGGGACAATCATTTAGGGATGGAGCAGTCAGGAAGATATGAGAGTCTTTTATTGGAACTCAAAGGGATTTTGCAGAAAATAAGACGAGCCCACCAAGGCTGAAAGCAACATGCATTTTTATTTGTAAGATATCCTGATACAGTAGAACGACTATTAGAGCTGGAATCAGAAAGATCTTGGTTCACACTCAAACTCTGATGCTTTTCAGCTGTGTGATCCTGGGCAAATGACTCACCTTGAAGCCTTAGTTTTCTCATCTGTAAAATGGAGCTAATGATACCGGTAGTATATGTCTCATAGGGATATTGTGAGACTCAAATGAGCCATAAAGTAAATGTAAAGCATTTTATAACTTTACACACACATACACGCTTAGAGTAGAATATTTTATATGATTTATAAAATTAAACAACAAAGAAAATATGATTCTCCTGTTCCCCATCCCACTCTATCCTCTAGGGAAGAGGAGATTAAACTCTTAAGCTTGGCATTCACTTACTCTTTCAGACACTATTGTGTCATTTCTTACACAAACCTTATTAAATGGTCCTTAGTGAGGTACCGGAATAAAATCCTTGTTGTCTTCTGATCATCATCATCATCACCATTATTATTACTGGTATTTACTTTAGGTAGCATTTCATATTGGTACAAAACTACAAAGTGGCACCTAGGAGGCAAGAAGAAATAGAGAGGAATTTTGTCACTGACATCATATAATATATCTGGAAAAATATTTTCAATCTATTATAATTAATAACAATACCAAATCAACATTAGACTTTCTAAGTATTTTTTAAAAATTTGTGTAAAGATATCTAACAGATTTACTTCAGTATCTTTTTTCCCAACTATGTAAACTTAGATTTTAATGTCAGATATCTTTATGCATAATTATGCTAAAGATATATTTATTCAAGAAACATAAGGCAGTCCTTGGCATATTAGTTGGCAGCTACAAACTTAAAATTAGCACTTTATTATTTTGAAAAAATACATATTCCCTTCCTTTTTAGACTTTTTATCTACACAGATTTGCAGAAGGAAGATCCGTTTGGTCAGCAATTTCAAGAGGCTCATAGGATCAGAGATTTAGAGCTGGATTAGAAATTGGATTAGAATTCTAACCACCTCTCTCCCCTCATTCGACAGATAAGGAAACTAAGGAACAAAGATATTAAGTGACTTGCCAAAGGTCACAGGGCTAGTAATATTTGAGGGAGGATTCAAACTCAGGCCCTCCTGACTCCAAATCTAAGTCTCTATTTAATATTCTACTCTGACTCTGTGGACAAGAGTCCAAGGTTATGGATGGGTTGCAATCTGTATGACTGAAGGGAATTTCAAATCAATGAATGCACAGATTCATTAAAAAAAAGAAGTTATTGGGGCAGCTAGGTGGTGTAGTGGATAGAGCACTGGCCCTGGATTCAGGAGGACCTGAGTTCAAATCTGGCCTCAGACACATAACATTTACTAACTGTGTGACCCTGGGCAAGTCACTTAACCGCACTGCCTAGCCAAAAAAACAAACAAACAAACAAAAAAACCAACAACCAGAAAAAGAAGTTATTCATATTGGGCATTGTGATGTAAATATGTTTTAAATATCCTTATAGAATTTAAATTGCCAATATTGACAGGTGGTTTGCAGCAATAAACAAGTATACAAGACCATGTGGGCAGGCTGGAGAAGGGCAGCTATTATTTAGGCTATTTGAGGACAAAATATTGTGGAATAGGTTTCCATCACCTCAGTCTGGAAGTAGATTCCCCTGGGAATCTGACAGTACCATCAGGACGATCCACACATTACTACCATTTTCCTTATTTTCCCACAAAGGGTTCCCTGTAAACTGTTAAGGACCTAAATTTGGGCATTTAAATTAATTTAGGTGAAATGAAGAGAGATTTCCTGAAGAAGAGGGAATGAGTCCAATCTGGAAAGAAGTGACCAGCTAAGGAATGGGAGTCAAATGAAAGCAGGAAATAATTACAGGTCATATGGTCGATAAAATAGACATTTTTTTTTCTGATACTTTCTACCTCTCAAATATTTCCAAAATATGACTCATGAGCAAGAGATAAAGCAACTTTAAATGTCTCTCTGGTGGTTTAGGGCACCAAGAACCATAACAAAGTAAAATCCCAATAAATTAACACAGAGAAAGCCAATTCTTACCCCAACAGGCTCATTTGGCATCCCTTGCTCCACTACCCACTATGATTGGGCAAGGCTGTAAAGAATAGCTCACAGGCTTGCAATGAAGTTCAACTTTATTATCTAGTGGGAAATGAATTGCCCAGCTTGACAGAAAGTCAAGATGGTTTTGAAATCTAACTCTCAGGGAAACTGCTACAGAGGGGGGAAGGAATCAGAAAGTTATATGGAATGGTACGGAATATAAGAAAAACATTTGGAAATTAACAAATATCCCAGGAGGGAAAACATTCAAAGACCTTGAGCATAAGCATATAAACTCACAGTGAAGATATTAATAACAGAAAAGAATATTACCTCTAGATCAGCAAAAAGAGTCCAGGCATCTATGTATAAATATTGTAAGACAAAGGAAAATGAATCAACAATTGAGTAGAGAGAGGTCCCCGAGAATTCCCAAGGAGGCATGGAATAACAGCAGCATATTCCTGAATAGTTAGTAAAAGAAATAAGACTTTTGAAAGCTGGATTTACATTCTACATAGCATAAATAATTAATGGAATAGGGAACAAAATGAATCCATAGATGAAAGCCTCAAACAAATAAATAAGAGAATTACTGATTGGGAATGCAAATATGTAAAAGTAAAAGACAATTTAGAGGAAAAGAAGTAAAAAGAAATAAATACCATTGAAAGAAAATATAAACTCCATACAAGCAAAACACATTGATCTTAAAGACTTAAAGACTCCTTAAAGATTATAAATCTTGCATAAAAAATGGCAAATCAAAAATATGAATACTCTGATGCAAAAAATAATACCCAGAACATCTGAACACAGAAAGCAAAATGACAATCAAAATATTTCACAAATCACTTGCAGAGAAAACAAACAAACAAACAAAATCTTTTTTACTGCAAACTCCAAGGCATAAAGAAGTTAAATTTTAAAATAACACTGATAAACAAAACATTCTACAAATGACCAAGAGAAAAACCTTCAAATGTAAAGGAAAGGAACTTCAAATGACAGGACTTTTCTGCACCCATCAGATACCATAGGAAAGAATGGACTAAGACATTCTAAAGAGCAAACAAGCTCAAGATGTTGTGACATACCATGCATACTTAAGCTATAGTTAATGGGTACCACTAGCCTCTCACTTTATAGGACATGCTTAAATTGCAATCTACTGACATGACCTCAGTGAACTTTCTTCTCTCTCTCTCTTTTTTTTTTTAATGAAGCATTGAAATAAGACTTTAATGAGAGGTGTACATATAATTAAATAAAATTTAAAAGAAACATTTATTAGATACCTACTCTTTGCAGGGTACTGTGATAGGCCCCAGAGATATAAAGACAAAAATAAAATAGTCTCTGTCCTTGAGGAGCATGAATTCTACATAATATACAACCAAACCACGCTCATTTATAATGTATATGTGTGTATGATATTATTCAACAGAGGAAAAACAAATTTTATTTAAATATATGTAGTTATTTATTTCAATCACTGAAATAAACAGAATTTACTTTAAACCATTTTAAGAGTTATAAATATGGTAGAAAATGAATATAATAATAAGTTATCATTGTAATTGTTATTCATTATTCTTTTGCAGTAATTTTTCTGTCCTTGAGATAAAATATGTATAGAAGAGACAGATATTAACCAATTCCCTTGCTTTAATTTTACTATTGTCAAAATGTGTTTTTGCTGACAGCTATTTAAAAAGCAATGAAATATGAAGCCCTCACAAGTTATTTTTAAATTAATAAACATTTTTTAAAAAGAACTTGGGCATTTAATTTTAAGAGAGCCTTTGTTTTATTTTAAATACTGGCTTATATTTTAATTTTGAATGTTTGGTCTCCAAATGTTGAAAAAGTGCTCTTGCTTTATTTTTTTATTTGACAAAATATTTTCATTTGACAAAATTTGACATCCTATGGTCATAGAATGACACCCTATGATTACAGATCATGGGGAATTTTTCTCTCATCCAAGACAAACAATGAAGCTACGTATTAATAATTGGCATTGTTCTTTCAGATTAAATTGCTCCATTTTTTTTAGTCTGAAATATTTAATTCATGGTTACTTTTGAAAAAGAAACTAAGCAATGCCCTTTGTATTTTGCCCCTTATTTTAAAATCTTGCTTACGTTTAATTAGTATTTATTTAAAAAGAATGTACTGAAAACAATTTTAAATATAAATTTACAATAGTTAAAAATAATTATGATATAACTAAAATGAACATTTCTATCACCTTTTATTTGGTGACTGATAGCAAACAGACATAGGGGTGATGATATGTAAAGAGATATGACAAGTAATCTATCCAACCTAGAGACATATACCTTAAAATCTTCCTCCTAAAAATTAATTTAGAATTAGGGCTTGTTTATACTGACTGAATCAAGGCAGGATATTATTTACATATAGATAATATTCATTGAGTCAAGTATTTTAACTTCATAAATTTGAAGAAATAAGGACACCTGACAATTTAAATTTGGTAGACTACTTAGAAAACCTTAATTTAGATTGCTGTCCTTTTTGGATAGATAAAAAATACTTTGTCTTCATTGTGTAGCTAAAAAAGTCATATACCTCTTTTTAAAAAAATTTAAATTCTGATTATTCCTTCTATTAAAAAAATCTATAATGGTAGAAGCAGATTTTCTAATGTCTTCATGGGATTTGATTTTATCTCATATAATATATGACTTAATTAAACAATTAAAGTATATCAGATTCTAAAAATGACATTCAAATATACTGGGTACATAAAATAGGTTTTAAGAATGTACTTGCCCATGAAGAATTATTCCAGTAGCAGTTAAGCTCCTTGTGGGCAAAGTCTGCTTTATTTTTGTGTCTGTATCTCTAGCACCTGTCACAATGTATGTCATATAATAGTCTTTAAAAAGCTGGTTGAATGGGCAACTCAACCACTAAATTGGCTGTGTAGTACATACTAAGCTAGAAAACTCATGTCATCTGTAATATATAGTCCAAGCTATATTATTTTCTGCACTTTCTTTTCAACTTTATATGAAAAAGTGGAAGAATAGAAATATGAGTGTTTTAAGTTGGTAGCAATCTATTCATCCTAAGTATGGGTAATGTTGAGGTGAAATTATGGACTTTGGTTAGGTTTTACTATAAAATAGAACTGATTTCAATTTTTGAAACTGAATTTTATTTTTAACGTTCATTTAAAATTTTTTTGACTTCCAAATTCTCTCCCTGCTTCCCATCTCCCACCAATTGAGAAGGCAAGCAATATAATGTCATTTATAAATGTGAAGTTATGAGAAACATATTTCAATATTAACCATGTTGCAAAAAATCTGAAGAAATAGCAAAGAGATATGCCTCTATCTGTACTCAGAATTCACCAGATCTCTCTGTGGAGGAAGTTAGTATTTTTCATCATGGGTCTTTTGGAATTGTCTTAGGTCATTGTACTAAGCAGAGTAACTAAGTCTTTCACA